ATATTTAATTGATTATATTTTAGGTGTAGTACAAATCTCTTATTCATCATTTTATCATTTAATATAATATAAAATATTTATTCTGTTGTGTTTTACTCGTATAACAATATAGTTTTTGTATTAACATTTTACAAGAAGCACATATATTACTGATTAATTAAATTAAATCGTTAGGATAAGATTTATTTTTTGTTCTTATATATTATTTGGTCTTTTTATAATTTTGTTATTTATTTAGAATATTGTTACATAATTATTAAAATAATATTTATTTTTAATAACAAATTTTATAATGTTAAAAAAATTAATATAGATAAATTATAATAAAATAATTTTTTAAATAAAATATAATATTATTTTTTTATGTATTTTGATTTTTTGTTTGATTCTCGAATTAGAAAATGAATATAATATATAATTGAATTTCTCAATAAAATCATTTGACTTAGATTTTTTTTTTTATATAAATATGAATTGGTAATATTTTAGATAATAAAAATTTTTTATTTCTCATTATTTTATCGATTTTTATGTATTTATTTAGTTTTTTTTTTTTCTCTTTTCATTTGAAGATAGAAGTTAAATACATGTTTTAAAGGATTAGGGTAATAATAATAATTAATTAAGAATTATTAATTATTTTTTATTCAATATTTTAGTTATATAGTTATTATAATTAATTTAAAAATAAAAAATTGTTTTGTATTTAAAGATTTGTTTTGTTTTGTATTTTATTAGTATATAGTTTTTATATTTGTTTTGTTTTTCTTGTTTTTAATAAGAATATAATTTCTCTGAATTATTTTTTCATATAATTTCTCTGATTTGTTGATTTTGATCATTTATTTTTTTTTTTTATTACATGTAGTATGTATAATTACAATTTTATGACTTTTTATATAATTATTTATTGTAAAGTATATATACAACAGATTATTTATTTAATTCAAGGTATAATTTTTAATCTAAAAATAATTTTCTAATATTTCTGTTTTTTTCTGTATTTTTATAATGTATAATGTCAGTTTAATGCTTTTTTTTTATATAATTACTGTTATATAAATTATATTATATTTTTTTTACGTTTTACTTATACATATTATCTATCATTTCTATATATATATATATATAAATTTAATATATAATTATATTAAAAACTAAACATTAATTTTTTTTCAGTTTTATATTTTTTTAATTTTTTAATAATAATAGTATATTTGAAATAATTTTTTTTTGTTGCTTTTTCTTATCGTTTTTGTTTTAATTTATAATATATATAAATATACGAATTTATAAATGAATTTTTACTATTTTTATTACTCATTATTTTATATATTATTTATTTATAATTTACAGTTATATATTTAAATATTATTATTATTATTATTTGTAATTGCTATAATTTTTAAAATTTCTTTCATTCTCTTCTATTTTTGTTTTAATAAGTCTCTCATAGAGTCAAATAATAATAACATTTAATATATTACTATTTTATTTTTTATATTTTCTATTTATTTATTTATTTTTCGAATCTTTTTTGTATTTTTACATTTTAACTTAATTTTTATAATATTAATATATTCGTATTAATAACATTATACATAATATACTTACGTACATAGAAATTTTGCACTTTTAAAATTTTGCCTTTTTTTCATTTATAATAATAATAAGTTTTTTTTTTTACATTTTTATATTTAATTTTTAATTCATTTATTCTATTCATTGACAAAATTTTCATTGATGTTTAATTTATGATAGCCCAATTTGGTTATAAAATTGAAATGAGCAAATTTTATATTTTTTTTTTTTATTTCAAAGAACTAAGTTTTTCCAGTTTGTTTTTTTTTTTATATAATGTGTTGTCAAATATCATTTTGGTCCAATTTTACATTAAGAAAATCTTTAATAAATTATTTAAGTTAATAATATTAAAAAAAGAAAAAAATAAAATAAAAAAACAGACTTCACATGTGAAATTGCACTTTTAATGAAATATTTTTTAAATGTGACGACGTATTTACTGAAAATATTTTGAAAAATCACTTATTAATAATAAAAGAAATAGTAAATATTTTAACATGTTATATAATCACGATAGTTATAGGCACAACTAAAAAAAAAATAAATAGTTTCGAAATTATATTTTTTTCTTCAAATTATTATTTCAATTATTCTTTTTTTTCTTATTTAGTATAATCGATGATTTTATAAAACAAAAATTATGATCAGCTTAATTATTTTTAAATTTAATGTATAATATACAAATAAATCCAATAAATAAAAGAAAAATTGCAGTCTTAAATATAATTAACAATTTGAAAATATTGTAACATTGGCCATTTTAGCAAATTCTTAGTATTATGAATATACAAGGATCATATCAAAGATTAATGATTACTTATTGAATGAATCAGTGTTAAATAATTTAATTAAATTTTTTGTACATTCAACTATACTTATATAATAAATGTGTCTGCATTTTAAATGATAATTTTCAAATTAGAGAATTATTAAAATAAATTTTTAAAAAATTTTAAACAGAACATTTATTAAAATTTTTTTTCTATTTATCATAATTAAATTAGTATATTTTTAATGTTTTATTTGTAATACAAAATATATTAGTTTTAAAATTATTAGAATATAAATTAAAATTTTTAAGGGATTTTTATAATCAACTTGAGAAGCTTTTTAAAATTTTACCGTTTTCAAGGACCTGAGTGTTATACTTATTTGTACACTACTTAAAACTTTCTTAATATAATATTTTAAAAATGGAATTTTGAAATCAAATATAATAGAGTATTATAATTGGATTTTAATGTTTTATATTATATTAAGTGTTAATAATTAAAGTATTTTACTACATGATTTTATAATATATAAATATGTACAGGGTGTTTTCAGTATTAAGCATAGTAAATATATGTGTACTCATATAAGTACATACATACAAAATATATTTATGTTTTCTTTTTTCTTTTTTTATTTAAATAAAAAAGCAAAAATTTTACATTCTTTTTTTTTGTTTTCAAAAAATATAGAAGACAATGGATTAATTTAATGAAATATATTTTTAAAAATTACATAATAATCATTACAATTTTCTTGTTTTATTTTTCTATTATCTTCATTTAATTTTATATTTTATTTTATGATTTACTTTTTAATATTTCATTTTTCTTTTATATTGTTTTGTTATTTATTTCAATATTGTCAATTATTTTTGTACAAACTGAGTCACCCTGTGTTTTTTTTTTTTGTTTGTTTTTCTATTATTTAATCATTTATATTTTTGAATGTGTTGTTTTCTATTTGTTTTGGAATTTTCATATGAATATATTATATTATAGAAGTTCAATTAAATTGTTAAAAATCAATTTAAATAATATTCAAAAAGTATTCATGAATCTGCTTTACATATTAGGATATTGTAATTCAATTGGAGCATCTTGAAAATTTTAAAATTAATGAAACATGCAATAAAAATAAATAAAATTGCAGTGTGTTTTTTTTTTTATGAACAGTGTTTTCTAGTTGTAATAATAAATATTACAATAGTTTTATAAGTTTTAATCAATTTTAATGAAATTTCCCTATCAAAATTATATCTCAAGAAGTTTGACTTTTAGCTAAACATTAATTTTCATCTTCCTTTTATTAAAACAATTTAAAAATTATAAAAAGCACGTAAATAAATTGTAATGGTTGTTATTGAGTGTAAATAATCTAAATGCAAGAAGCTCAAAGTAAATTTCTTTATTTGTTTATTAAAACATGAATTTCAGATTGAATTCCACTGATACTAACAAATGAATTTAATTTTAATATATAACAAATGTTTTATTATAATTTTTTTAATTAGAAAAATAACTTGATAAATGTTTTGAAAATTCATTAAACATTTTTTTACTTGCTACTGTTATACAATATCATGTTTTAGTTCGAAGATGAAAAAAATATACAGAATTTTAAAAATACTGTTTGAATAAAATTTAATTTAATCTTAAATGTATCAAAATAAAAGGAAAATAATTATTTTCCTTTTAAATTTCAACTTTATAAATTATTTATTATTGTTCATATTTTATGATTTTAAGAAATGAAGTTAATATAGAGAAATTATATATTAGAGGTCTAAGACCACACAGAGCTATCCTTCCTTTTTGTGTGTTTATATAATTATTCAGTATTTTTTTTTTAATGTTTAATTTTATATTCCGACGATTAAAGCTATTCGATTTTCTATTATTTTTTTTGTTTTTATTTTCTAATTTATTTACGATTTTTATTTAATTTCTTTTTACAATATTTTTCTTCTTATACAAAATATTTGTTTTTTTTGTTTTCAATTTTATAAATATTTGGGCAAACACTAATAAAATACTTTTTTTTTTCTTTATTAATTTTAATTTACAATATTTTCTCTGATTTTATCGAAACTAATTAAATTTTTAAGAATCAAAGATAATTTTAAGAGGAATAGTTTCAGTCAAATGGCGTTACTATAAATTAGTTATTAAATAAGGGTATATTTAAAATAATCTACTTGGTATAACGTAGACATTCGTACATTAAAATTGAAATTATATTTTAAAACATTTGCAAATTTCTCTAATTATGTGATTTTGAAATTTTTTTATTGAAAAATTTATGTAAATTTATATAACAGTATTTTATTTAAATGTTTAATTCGTAAGAAAAATGTTATCTTATTATATTTATGAAAATGGAATTAAAAATATTGTATTTAAAAAACATTTATTTTCATATTAACAATTCAATGAATTTATTTAAAATGATTATTTTAATTATTTGACATTATATGTGCTATATTTAATAAAAATCTTTGAATATTTCCATCTTAAAATCATCTTTGAATTTGAATTTTAAACCCTAAATTTTTAAATTAATTAAAGAAAAAGTATATTTTACAGCTTTGTGTTTACCTTGTATATTTTGTGTTTTATAAACATTAAATATCTTTTGTGAAGCAAAAAGTTTATATTTTATTTAATTTTCTTTTAGTTATTTTTTTTTTAATTCATAATGGACTATTATACATTTTCATTACTAATTAATCATTTGAATTTTTTCACAATTTTATATAATTAATTTTTTTCTTTTAAATTTTTTCAATTTATGCTTTCATATAGTTTTCATTTATTTATCTAAATTTTTATTTATATTATAATAGTAGGTAATAGAACATCTTTATCTCTGTTTCTTATTTATGTATATATTTTTTATTTCATATATAATCAATATATTTATACATAATTCCTTTTTTTTTTTTTGATTTTTCATGAATTTTAATATTAATGACTTAAAATTAAATAAATTTATATAATATATTTTATGTATATATTTATCTTTACAATATATATATATATATATATATATATATATATATATATATATATATATGTACGTAAATACATATCATAATTTTTTTGTAACATTTTTTCTTTTATAATTTTATTTATTTATAATTAATAATAATTTTTTTTTAAATCTGATTTTATTAAATAATTTTACATTCCAGCAAACGGATCCAATTGTATATTTTTACCATTTTGAGCTGTTGTGACTGCTGCAGGTTGAGGTTGCATTGAAATTATACCAGGTGCTACGACACCAGTTGCTGGCATCATTTGCTGTTGTAAACCGGGTTGTATAATAGGCACCATACCAGCTGGTGTCATCATTGGAACACCACCAGGTGCCGGTGCTCCCATCATTGGCATTCCCTGCTATATTATAACAAAAAAATAATTAATTAAAATGAATTAATAAATATTTAAAAATTTATTTTTTTTTTTTTGAAACATAATTTAAAAATATATATATATATATATATATATATACATTTCTTAGATTTTTTTCATTGAAATTGAACCCATCACCTTTCTTTTATTTAAATTGTTATTCTTATTATTAATATGGTAAAATTAAATATCATGCGTTATGAAAAAAAAAAAATTTTATATTTTTTCCATTAATTTTTTAAAATTTAATTATATTATTTAGTATTAAATTATTATCATAGATTGATTACAAAAAAAAAAAAATTAACCAAATTCTATTTTAAAAGAAACTTTGTTATTGAAAGCATAATTAACGAACACATTTTATTAATGTTTTCCGCATTAGTTTTATTAAAATATTTTCATTTTAATATTGAATGAATTTTAGAATTTTTGATAACAATAGAGAGTTTAGAAATATACGAACTTGTTAACAGACCAGTCTCTTCTTGTCCCTTATTCTTACAATTTTCAATTTTCTTTTTACAAATAAAAATTCTTAAGAGTTTTTCAAAAGGACACATTTTGCATAGATAATTTATTATTCAAAATTGCTTTTACACGAAACGAATCAAAAATAACTACACAATATCAATAGAAAATGAGCATCTTCCATTTGAAAAGTTTTTAGTTACAATTTTTAGAAGAAATTAAATATTCAATTTAAAATAAACCTGATGGATATTTATTAGAAATAATTATGATCGAAATTAATTTGAAATTTTAATTATCGGAATACTTGCAAATTTTTATATTTTTGCATTGTTTTCAAATCAGTGTTAAGAATACAATTCTTGGAAGAAGAAATGTAAAATCAAGAAAAAAGTATTTCTAATCACATTCAAAGATCATATAGTAGCTCAGTAGTGTTCAATATTTTATAATTGAAGTACTACAATATTTATTAAAATAATAAATTACAAATAATTAAATTGAATTCTAATATTATAATTACCTTATTCGAAACTTCAAATTTACTTATAAATCTAAATTATTTTGGACTACACAAACTACTTCTACTACGAATGAAATTTAGAGAACTTAAATAAATTTCTGCAACACCAAAATAAACTTAAAACTGAACTTAAAAAAATTATATTTGATATAAAATAGCAATAGCAAAAAATTAGAAATTTTAAATTTTAATACACAAAAGTTTGTAATTTCAAATTAATTTAAAAACATATTATTTTTTATATTATTGTATGTAAGTGGATAACAAAACAATTTATAAAATTGTTTATAACCATAATTATAATTTTAATTAATTTACTTATGCCATCATCAATTACTAATTAATTAAGGCTATTGCTAGCGGCACCTACATTTACATACTAATGATAGCCTAATTAACTAATTCATTTAAAATTATTAAATGAAATAATTCATAAAAATAAAAAATTAACACAAAATTCAAGAAAGAATATGAAAAATAAAAAACAAAAGAAAAACTAAAAACAAAAATGAGAATAAAATTAAATAAGGAATATCAAAATTAAAACTTAAAAAAAAAAAAACAAAACAAAGAAAACAAGAAACCAAAAATCTTACCTGTTGAATAAAATTAGGAATTACAGGATAACTAGAGTGAATAAACTGATGATTAATTGTGCTTGGTGCAGGACTTACGGTCATGCCTTGCGCCTATGTTACATTTTTCCAATATTAATTTTAATTATTTTTTTTGAATTAATTTTTAATTATAAAATTTTAGCAAATAAGAAAAAAAAAAAAAAGAAAACATAATTTTAATTTAGAAAAAATAAAAAATAAATTAGAGAAAAAAAAAATGTTAAAGAATTTAAAAAAAAAAACAGTGGTAGATATGAAAGAAAAACATAAATTAAAATTAAAGAAAAAAAATTATAAAAAAAATTAGCTTCCACCCTAATAAATTAAGGTCTAAAGTGTAAGATTTTTAATTAATTTTAGGTTTTATTTAAAATTACATCGTTTTTTTTTTTCTTGCTGGTCTTATAATACAAATTATTATAGTGTATATTATTAATTTTCTCATTTTAAATCATGTAACTATTTTTTATAAAAATTTTTATATTTTAAATTAAAACTAATAACAAATTATGTACAATAGGAAAAAAAAATAATTTACAAGCTTTAAACTTAAAAAAAAAATCCCCCAGATTACTCAATCATTATGATCTAAATTTATTTTAAGTTTTCCTGCTTAATTTCTTAGTTTTTAAATTCAAATAATTAATTTGTTTCCTGAATAATTTTTGCAAGTTATTTTGAAAATAATCAAAATTAAATTGATTGATTAAAACTAAAATGAAAAGCGAGATTTTATTAAAAAATTATTAGAAATTGACTCGAATCATCTTAAATTTAGCAGAAGTAAAAAAAAAAATAAATATCCTATTTTATATTCGTCTTGTAAATTTTTAAATACATCAAACTCTAAAATGATTTTCAAATAACTTGTTCTTAAAATGATCATAATTACCAGCCTCAACAAAATAAATTTTCGCATATAATTAATTAATGTAAATTTAAATAAAATGTTGTGATAATTAACCTTTAAAAAAAAATATATTTTTTCTGAAATTTTTATGTATATGCATTTGGTTTGAAGTTTTAATTTTAATTATAATTTAATTTTATAATAAAATATTGTAATGATAAATCACAAAAAATTAAAATACTTTGAAACATATTCGTATAACAATGATTGATAAATATGATTTACAATGTTTTAATAAAACAAGCCTTCTAAAAAAAACTAAATTTAACCATAAAAAAAAAATATTTTTGAAATTGGAATGCTGTGTACTAATTAAAACAAACCTTAATTAAACGTTATCCTTAACTACCTAAATTATTGTACATATTAATAAAAATAATCTAAACGCTTTTTATACATATTCTACTTAAATTTTAAATTAATCCTCAAAAACAAAAAAAAAATATTATACAATTCTAATTTAATTGTGTTATTATACTGAGCTTTAATTACATAATCGAAATTAACGAATTTTAAACAATTTTTGCATTAAAATGCTTTTTTTAAAAATTACAAAAATTAAAAAATAGAAATCGTAAATATGTTGTTAGAATAACTAAGAAATACTGCAGATTACGTTGATATTATTTTAAGTTTTCTTTTTTCCTTTGGCCCTTTTATCATATTCAAGTAAACCTTTTTACATCATTTCATTTTCATCAGAGATATTATTAACTCACCATTGGTCTATATCCAGCTCCTGTTGTTGCTGCCATTGGTTGAGGTGACCAATTTGCACCTGGTTTTGCTTGATTTTTAGGTGAATTCCAATTCATTTGTCTAAAAGTAGAAAATAAGAATAAGCAAAAGAGATAAATGCATTAGTAATAAATTTAAATAGAATTTGTTTTTTTTTTGTTAATAGCAATTTTTATAAAAATATTAATAATTTTTTTTTTTATATTTAAATAATAAAATATACGAAAATAAAAATAAAACAATTTTTAAAAAGGGCTAGTGTAAATTTATTGTATAAGGACGTATAACATTTGTGAGGATTTCATTCAAAATGATTTATTGTTTTTTCATAAATGATAACTACAAAATGAAAAGGAAAATAAATAGCTACTAAATTTCATACTTAAAAATGTTTTTTTTTTTTTTGTTGTTAATGTTCAATCCTGGAACTTTTCTATATGGTGACCCTCTCATAATATCCACATCACTGAATAATCTCAACATATTATTTATATTATAATTGCTAATAAGATTTTCGAAATCTTAAAAGCGAAAGAATTTATTAAAAGCTAATATAGGGTAATACTAGTATAGTAAGAAATTTTTCTTATATACGTACAAAGAGAAAGCAATTTGTTAATGATAAAATTATAACAAAATTTAAAACATTTTGTTTTGACCTTCTTTGGTTTTCGTTTTTCTTCTAAAATAATATTTTAGTCGTCAACCAATTCAAATAGCTTTAACATCTTTATAAGCAGTATATTTTCTGTTAGAAAAAAATATAAAATTATCACACTTATTATTATTGTATATATACATAAATAAATCCCAATTATTTGCAATACTATTTATTTCCATATGTGATTTATATCGTATAAGATCTAGAAACTCCACTTTCGTTATTTATTACATATAAAGTAAAATTAGTTTATCTAGAAATTTCATTGTAAAATGTATGTATTTAATATATACTTTAATTATTTACAAATTTTTCAATTATTTATAAATTATTCATATACTTTTGAATTTTTTGACGAAATTGATATGCTCACAAATTTAATTGAAACTTCGAAAATACAAATATAAGGCAAACATAAAATTATATCTGATTAAAAGATCTAAAATTTAAAGAGAATTTGAATCAAAAATGAGAGAGAAGAATTTCTTTCAAACTTGCGAAAACCATCTGTATAGAAGTACACTACACTATCGTAAAAACTCAATCTCTAAACTAAAATTTAATATATATGTACTTATATGAAAAAATCTAAAAGAAGAGAGAAAAATATCAGATTTCAGCCTTGCTTTTAAATTTTAATTTGAACAGAAAGAAATAACACTTATAAAAATACGCAAATTCATAATTTCATATTGAATTTTCATATTGAAAGTATGTATTCAAAAACCACCATAATTGATAATTGGACTCATTTAAATGACCCCCTTTTTGAATGTGAAATAATAGATTTTAATTTTCAATCATCTTTTTTTTGGGCAATGGCCCATACTTTATTATGTTAAATTAGCAAAATTAAGAACCAAAATAATAATTTGAACATTTTAAAAGAGGAATTGCTAAAACCTATCAGCAAGACTAATGAAATATATTCGGCCCAATAAGTTTTTCTAGAATTCGAGGAAAATGAAAATGTTATGCACTTTTATTTTAAGGAATAATTAATTTTAATCAATATGATAGGAATCTTAAATTTATTTTATAAATAATTTTTAATCTGTAGTTTTTTTAAAAAACTAATTTAATACTACATCTAATGCCATCTAACGTTAATTTAAATTTAATTTCAGAAAACATGCCCTGGTTCCAATTCTCTGTCAAGTTGAAATATTAATGAAAAGAATTGGAAATATACACAAAATCTAAATCGAACAGAAATTAGACCAGTAGAAATAAAAGTTATATAATATTTGGAATATATTTCTGAAGACGACTTAACAAAACGAACTCTTATGACATAAAAGGGTTACAAGAAAAGGTTATTAAAATATTGCAATGGTATATTATAGAAATAAAAAGAGGGTAATAAAAATTTATTATAATATCGAAAGTAACATTCCCTACAAAAGTAATTAAAAGAGTACATTTGAAGAGACGACCCTGACAAAAAATTCAAAATACGCTTAACATACAATAAATTACAATGGCCCTGCAAGCAAAACTCTACAATATGCGTTACCTGGCCAAAATAGTATGAAGTCTGTAATATGTAGTCAAACAATTCAAAAATAAAATTTTATACGCAAAATAAAGCTATAATAGAAATGTAGAATAAAATTTGTATTTTAAGTGTTGTTTGTTAAAAAAAAAAGAAAAAAATTAATATATAAAAATATTTTTCTGCTAAAAAATAATTAACGATTAACGAAACTAATAAGTAACGATTCTAATTCATAACTGATTGAAAGCTTTAATTACATAAATAAGAAATTAAAAATATTTAAAATCGAGAATTCAATGCTTGAATAAAAAAGAAAATATTTGACAATAATTTTATTGATTTTATTAGTATGTATTGTGTATGTACGAGTATATCCCAACTCTTTTAAGCCAATATGATGAGCCTTTTGGGCTTGATTACTCAAATATAGATTTATTTCATCATTTTTATGGTCTACTAACATATATGAGTAAATTTAAAATAAGTATGCACATTTTAATAATTGAAGTATAACCAATTTTGCCAATTTATTTTAAAATAAAATTTGTTAATTTCATATTGAAATTTACAAATTTTTAAGTTATACGATATTCATTTTAAATTAATATCGTAGTATCGTAATATCGTAATTGAATGAATATCGTAGTATCGTAGAATCGTAATTGAATACATTGACTCGTTCTGAAAATTTTTCTTCTACTTCTTATTCCTATGGTTCTCAGCTGACAATAAATTGCAAAAATAGTCTCCGCTTATTTCTTAGAGCTGTCCTTAACTTCTTAGAATAAATTTCTTCAGAACTGAATGAGTACTACTTTACAAAAAGGAAAATAATTTTTTTTTTCTTGAGCAATCCTTAAGAAATTTTTGAAATTTTTTACATTGAGTTTATATGAAATAAAATATTTCTTTTCCAGCTGAGTGCTATGCTTAAAGGTTCTTCTTTTTTGAGTAATAACTAAGCTAAAAGATTTTCTGAAATATAAAGAACCTATAATATTTTGATTTAACTGAAAAATAATCATCCATATTCTGTTAGTCGCATCTTTTGATTGGCTATTTAAAAATATTGAATTTTCAAATTCTATACTGAAAAATAATGATACTTTTCAATAATATCCCATCAAATCAAGTGAAGTAACTAACAGAATAAGGGTGAATATTGAAAATTACAATAATATTGAGCTTCTATTACAATTTAACAACTCAAAAGAGACAACTACAAAATTAGTAGTTATAATTTTAATAGTAAGAGTTAAATTCCTTTTAACTCCGAAATTTCATATACATGATTCAATTAGTATAATTGTTAAATATATTTAAACATTCTAGCTGATTTAATATCATGGTTCGACTTATGAAAGCTCTACTGTATACATACAAAATAAAAATATATTAATTATACAGCAATGCTAAATATAGCTAATCTAGCAAAAAAATTATATAAGACTATATAATTTATATAACTTCAAATTAAGAAAAAAAAAAAAAACAGATTAAATGCAATGAATCGTTACCAGCTCTACTTACAAAATGAAATACAATGAAAAATTATATTTAAATGATTCGATATTTTTTTTACGATAAATCGATTTTTACGATTCACTATAATGTTTTTTTTTTGTTGTTTTTCAACAAAATGTTATAGAAAATTTAAATTATAAATAATAAAGATAACGAAAGGTGAGTGTACTCACATTTTTTATACCATGTATGGTAACACTTTCGATAATCAATCACATGTGAAATATTTTTGTAATAGTTTTGCAATAATAGGGAATAATATTTGTTTTATAAATTGAACCCCATTTTGAAAATATTGTTAAACGATTGCTGGATAGATAAAAGAATTTTTGCGTTTCGTGTTGCCAATTTGAATTCGTAGAATATTTTTTTTTGTTTATATAGTTTGGTATTTTGACATATTTGTTTGTTTTATTTTTTTTTTTATTTTCTTTTTTTTTGTGTTTTTGTTTTTTTTGTAACTACTTACTTTCCAGTATTACCAGCTTTATTTATATTCAAATTATCTACAAGTGATGCTAATGAACTATCCAAATCACCGGTAATTATTTTGCCAGGTTGACCAGTTTGTTGTTGTTGTTGTTGATGTAGTTGCTGTTGAGATTGCGTCGTACCTGTTACAAGAACATTTCCAGTTTGAACATGTTGTTGTACACCACCAATATGTGATGGTGTAGATGTATTAGCTGGCTTTAATACATCACCCAATGCATCAAAGCCTTTATTTATTTATTTATTTTTTTTTTGTTTTTTTGTTAAATTAATATATATGTATATAGGTATGTTAGATAACAACCGGATTTTTTCCAAAAATTTTAACCATTTTTTTTTTTTTAAATTTAATTTTTTAAATTTTTTATATTTTGTAAATTATTTACACGTTCCAAATTTTTGCAATAAAATTAAATAACAAGTACAATAACAATAATAAAAAAAAAAATATAAATTATGATAGAAAAGATGGCCGCCCCGACAAAAAAATTAACAAATTTTTAGTTTTTCCCAAATAGACACAAATGATTTTTGGTTTTATTTTTATTTAATATTTTAGTATAAGATGATGATGGTGCATGGTGCATTTTTATAATTGTTTTTTTTTTTTAAATGGTGCCCAAAAGTTCCCAAAATTTTAAACAAAAAGTTCATTTTTTTGCCCCCATGAAATTTGACATTTATTTTTTTTTTAATTTAATTTATATTGTGTTTATTAGTTACGTCGTTATTACATAAAATATAGTAGATTGCAAAATGTAGTAGATAAAGAAATTTATTTGTTTTGTTCGATTTTTTTTTTTGTTGTTTTTTGATTATAGTTTCCATACAATTTTACACAAAATAAGTGATAATATATTGTAAATTATAATAGCAGTAAATGTTTTTCACACATACATATGAAATGTTTTTATAGAATAAAAAAAAAAGAGAAGAAACATAAAATAATATTTGTATTAGTTTATTTTTATATATTTTATTTTCTTTTGTTTATTTTGAACATATTGTTGAACTTTTTATTATTTAAAAACAAATTGTTAAAAAAATTAATATTATTTTTATATAAATTAGTATATAAGGAAAAAAAATTAATACGTTAGTATTACGATTAATATTTACTAAAAAAAAAAACAAAAACAGTTTTTTAAATTAGCAAATTAAGTGAAACAAACTTAAGACAAAAAAAATTATTCTAAATAAAATAATGTTAATCTTTAGCATAACATTTTAGGATAATAAAACAGAAAATATACTGTTTTGCAAATAACTATTTTAAATTATTTAATTTATTTATTATTATTGTGTATTTTATACAAAATTATATGAATAATTTTCAAAAAAAATGGCAGAAACAACTCTTATTTGAAAAAAAAATTATGTAATATGGTAGCACTAAAAAAATTTAGCATCATTATTTTATTTATAAAATTTTGTTAATTTTTTTTATTTAATCAATTTAATTATCATACATAAATGCTTTATAGCAAGTTATACTTTTTAAGAATTCTATTTATACAATTAATTATATTTATAGAAAATGTTGTATTATTTAAAAATGAATGGCTTCGTCTAATAGTTATGGCCTATTAGAAATCAAATAACTTTATATTATATAGGTATATTCATTATAATAAATAAAAAGTTAATCAATGCAGTGTACTGCAAATTTTTCAATATCATTGTAATTATTTAAATATGTCATAAAAAAAAAAAATATTTTACCAGCCAGAAATTTTTTTTTATTCTGTAGTGTTTTTCAAGTTTTTACTAATTTTCTTGTCATATACCCAAATATTACACACGACGGTAACACAATATTTCTTTAACGACATAGAAATTATTTTATTCATTAAACATTTATGTTTAAACATTAATCGAATTTTGAAGATTATAGAATTTTTTTAATTTTTCAATAATTTTACAAAACCAATTATTAATATTTTTATTTCAATAATTAAATTTGTCATAATTATAAACAATTTTTTCTTATACAATTTGGATTATCTTATATGGAACACGTTTTATGTGTATGTTCTACCGCTTATTCTTACACAAAATTTATTTTGTGAATTTGTTGTAAGTGAAGTTTCTACTCTAATATTTAAAATTTATTGTAAAATAAATAAGAAAAAAAATTTGTTAATACGATACATTTATTTGTTAATAAATATGGTATATACGGCAACACTTATACGAAAATTTGAATATAATAGGCACTTAAAGAAAAATTTGAATATTTTTATAGATTCAAAATATTATGGAATTATTTTTTTTCTTTATTGATGCCGAATTATGTCGATTAAGCCGAATGAATGTCTTAATTTTAATAAAAAACCAACATTCGTTATTTGTTAATTGAATTAAAAAATTAATTAGACTCGTCCAATTAAATATAGAGCAGGTAAAATGACTAGTTAAACCAATCCCGAATATATTTATCAGGCCACTAAGACCAATTATTTTCCAAAGCAACAAAATGTTAAAAAGCAATTATCAAAGTTTTATATTCCGATCTATTCCGATATATTCACGATACATTCATCAATCGATATATGTGAAATTGGTATAAATTTTTTAAGAAGAGCCAATTACTTGAGAATTTTTTAAGCAATTTATAATTTAATTTATTAATAAGAAACAAATACCAAATTTTTGTATTAAAATAAAGTTAGAATTAATTTTCAAAATCATAATGGCCTCCATGTTTCTCATTTTACATCATATTAAATTATATATTTTTTTATTGGAATTTTTATTGAATTGGAAAAAGACTTTGATAATTCAAATATTGTTCAGTATAGTAACAATCAGTTTTTATGACAAATTTAATTTATCGATTAAAAGATCTAATTTTAAATTGCCCAAATTTGGAATATGTATAAATAAAATACAAAATATTATATACATAATATTTATAATTAATAATATTTTTCTTTTCCATTTTTTACTAACACTTACGTTATTTAAACACTAAAACGTTCCAATAAAGATTATTTGCGTTCCATTTATGTGTTCAAATTATTCATGAGTTCATATGCGCAGTGTATAAATGGAACGGTTTTTTTCGGTTTATGAGTAACAAATAATCATAATTTTTTTGGCATAACCATTTTTTTCCATATTATATTATACAAATTATTATTATTCAAATGTCAATTTAAACAATTCATCTGTTATAAATCAGAAATACTATTTCCATTTATCGAAAAAAGTAACGTTACCCACGACGCTCAATGAAACGACACCGAGAAGGTCGAAAAACAAATTTTTGGTGTCGTTAAATCAAACAAAATTTTAATTTACTCGTTTTACTTGGAAATTTCGCAAACGGAACATAAAGGAACTGGAACACATTTTGTTGTCAAGCTGTTTTTTAATTTATAAATAATAAAAAAACAGAGATGACCTTTTGTATAAACATATGTATGTATCAAATGAATGTATTTAAATTAAATAAATGAGTTTTTAATATCTGAATTTCAAAATTAATAAAAACAAGTTGTTGAAACGGCTTTTACGATCTGTGTTACGAATAATTAATAAAAATAGTTTTTTTTTCAATTTAATTGATTTTACAAGAGTAGTTAAGTAAATTTTAGCGGTAGCAAAGCAATAACCCATATTATGAAATTACTGTTCACCAATATATTTTTTGCTTATTTTAACGACCTGTTAATTTTTTCGTTTCCATTGAGCGTTGTTTTCTCGATTCATCAGCTGATTATATTGTAATTGTCGTTTTCATTGAGCGTCGACGGTTTCTGAACGGACCATCTTTTGTAAGTATTTATTCGGGGTAGTGTAGTAGTGCGCAGTTTTGACTACTCATGAATATAATTTTAACACGTAAATGGAACGTAAATATTAAGGTTTCTTGTTTTTTTACTTTTATTAATTTTACAACATTATTATTTTAGTTCTTTTTTGTTATTTTTAAATTTTTTCAATTGAATAAAAATGGTTTAAAATTTTTAGGAAAAAATCAGATGTTATATAATAAAATATTAATGAATGAATGAAAACGATAAATAGAAATTATAAATTTTGTGTATTTGTTATACGAATTGGTTAAACGGAATGTCGGGGATTATATTTTGTTTGTTGTTTGCTTGGTGAATGTTTTGTTTGATTTAAGTTTTGAATATTTTTTGTTTTCGTTTTTTGAATGTTTTAAATATATTTTTTTTTTCAATGAAATTTTTTCCGACTATATGTATCTGAATGTACGCATATACATATGTATGTTTTTATGTATGTATTTTGAAATTTAAATTTTTATTATATTTATTACATAATAATGTATAATGGTTAAAATTTGTAAGTATATATAGGAATATTACATACATACATTTACAATTTAAAAAAAAATTTAGTATATATTTTTGGTTTTTTTTTTCTTGAAACAATTACTCATGCTTTTAAAAAGAAATGGAAAAAAATGAAGTTGTACATAATTTGAAAACAACAACATTTAATAATATTATATAATTATTTTTTTATCATTATTTATTAAAGCAAAAACATAAAAACACTGAGAACTTTTCTTTATGTTGATAAATTTCTGGCTAGCTGAATATTGTGTGAAAGGGTTTTATTTTTTGTTTTTTTTTTTTTTTATAATTAAAGGAATATCAATTTTTTTGTTAGTTTTTTTTTTAAACAATTTTTTTGTTTTTTATTTTTTTTTTTTTGAAATACATTTAATAAATCAAAGCTTATGTTTGTGTATAGCTACTGTAGGATTTCAACAAAAAAAGCAAATTTTCTACTTGCATATATTTTTGTATTATAAAAACACATTGAAAAATAAAAATGACAATCAAAAAATTTATATACACATATACATAAATACTAATGAAAATAATCACATTTTAAACGTGCACATATACAAAATTCGAATTACTTTGATCTTCTTTTCCAACTCAAATATGTCATGTTAACATAAAGTTTAATTTCAAAAATTTCTTAATATAGAAATTATTTTAAAAAAATATTAAATTTAAGAATTTAATTAATTTAATTTATTTTTATTTTTAAGAATTTAATTAATTATTTTACTAAAATTTTTTATCTTTAATTAAATAATTGATTACTAAAAAGAAACTCGAGAAAAACACACTGGCTTCAAAAATGCAGTATAAAAATTTTCGAATGTGAAACTTTTAAATAATCACTGTGTTGTAAAAAACAAAAAAAAATTGATGTGAACAACACATAACCGACCGTATTTCACAAGTGTTGCATAAGATTATGAAAATTTTATTAAATATTTACTTCAAATTGTATGAATGATATAGAAAGTACACTCTAAATAATGTACCTAGAAAATGTAAATTTGGTTCCTATTAGATTTCGCTTTGAATTTTTTCAATTAATTTCATTAACAACAAGAAGTTAAATTTTAGTTTTTAAAAAATTCAGAATTTGACAAAAAATCGATTAGGCCAATCTTGATTAACGAACGATATTTTGAATTATTGTTGATTTTAAGATGTTTTGTAAAATCAATTTGCTAAAATAAAAGCATTTCATTAAATTTTTTAAGAAATGCAATAAATACGAAAAATTTTGCAAAATGTCAAACTTTACAAAAAGAAAACTAAACATTCTACGCTCTTCATTTAGAAATATGCTTGTCTTCGTTAATAAATAACTAATATTGGTAACACTTCAATGTCATGTAATACAAAAAAATCTAGCTGCACGTTATGCTTTTGTTTAAGGTATTAAAAACTTGAAAACATTTTTGAACATGATAAATTATAAATTTTATGTTTTTACTGCAATTTTGAATCATAAATCTTATTCTTGTCAACTGATATTTCGTAAAACTTATAACAAACTCAGTCCTTATTATTATAGCAATAAAATTGTTAACATGACTAATTTTTGAATACAGCATATAATTAAGACAATCCATACATAAAATTATAAAAGCGAAAAATTATAAAACTAAAGCAATCTAAAAATTTTGATAACAACTAAACTATACATATAATTAATTGAATTACAAATACACATACAATTACATATATTATTACACACAATAATTAAAAAATATTTATTTCTTTCTTTAGTAGGATAGTGAAAGTGTTATATTAAAAAAACGAGTTCGTTAGAATAATAGTGTTAGAGGGTATTAAAGTCAATATAGAAGTATATTATTTGCTATTCTTTCCTAATTAAATATCAAATAATTTTTTATAGAACATTCTATATTGGCCTGGGTATAAAGCATTTAAAAGCATATTATATTAAATTTTTGATTTTTGTTTAATAAAATAAAAGATTAATTTATGAAAAACAAAATAATAATGTTTTTTTTTTTTATTTCAAATGATTTTAATTTGATTAAAACAAAAAAAAAATTTCTTATTCTTAATTTTGTTCTTGAACAAAGACTTATTCCAATTATAAAACAAAATAAAATATATGTTAACCCTTTGCTTCCTTTGGGATTTAGTACAATGCAAAAAAAAAGTTTTAGGAATTTAATAATTAGAATAAATTTTATATAATCTCTTTAAATAACCGTACACAAAGTATTTACACTCTTTTCACTCAAAAAGAATAATTGAAAACAGCGTTTTGCAAAATTAAATATCTATTTGTTATACAGAAATAGAAACTAAGCTATGTAAATTTTGAAATGCCAAAGATTTGACATTTAATTTCTTTATAAAATGTAATATAATAGTCATATATTTGGTTGAGCGTTCATATCAACAACTCAACCACTCTTTAATTTAAATGGAATAATATGTACACACCGAAAAGGAATATCATATTCACTACAAAAAAAAATTTTATATAGTATATTAAAATATGTACATATGTATAACAAAAATAAAAAAAAAAAACCAGAAATTATAACAATACAGTAAAAAACACTTTTTTAAAAAATTTTTTCCTCCTCTTTTAATTTAAAAGTAACTTGAATATAACAATACTGTAACAAAATCGGCATAGAAATTTAAAGAGAACCTTTTGATAAAATATATAAAAGTGGCAAAATACTGTTATACTGAAAATGTTAAGAGGATAGAAATCGCAGTATCTTAATTGAGTTATGCAGAATTTATGTTCTTAAACTGAAATCTAAGGGAAAACAGGCGTTGGTGTCTCTTAACAACAAGAGTGTGAGAAAAGAGGACTCTGTGATTTTCAGCGTAAGATTTTGCGAGACAAAAAAATCAACATATTGGACTGAAGAAGAAATCATAATACTAGATATAAAGGTTGGCGATGCAAGAATTTTATTCCGAAAAAATTTGAATACTTTTTCTCAACATCAACAAAAATAAAGTCTAAATGCCGACTGTATATATTTTTCTGCGATTAAGAATACAGAAGATCAACTATTATTGAATCATATTTTACTTAGTAATATATAAGAAACTAAATACAAACCCGTTATCAATTATATAATGAAAAAATTCACGGTTTTAAAGTTGAAAAATAAAAATTTACTTGCAATTTATTATTCGTAACGAAAATTTCGCCTACGCGGCACATGTAATATTTAATATTCCAAATTCAATATAAAAAAAAGGGTACTTTTTATACTTCTTGTTTGTTGAAATTTGGATTCAAACTCATTTATTTTTACGAAAATAGATTAAAGCAAATCTATAGCAGCGGAACATGTGACACAAACTTAATACTATACTTGAAATTTTTAATAATCTTTAATAATCTATATAATACGAGTATTCATACAGGCAACTGCATTTAATCTAATATTTTCTCAGTAGTGTTCGGTATTTTAAAAATAGGGCTAATTTTATATGACTAAATTAAGTTCAAAAATTTTTGGGGGTTTCCAAATGTTTGCGTGACATATTCCAGTGTTTTAGAACAATTGAAAATTTCTTTACGTGAAAGCGCAGTTTTTATTAATTGTGATTAGTTTAGCCTAAAAATATACTTTGTTTTTACTATGGTTGGTACAAATTGAATTCAAAATTAAGTGAGATCTAAAATAAAATATTTGTCTATATATAAAAACAAAATTAAAATTAAAAATAAAGTAAAAAGTATTGTTTATTTTGAAAGAACAGTGAATTTTTATAGCATACAAAATTTATGTTCTAGGTGCTCTGAAAAGAAGCGATAGTCATTTTTAATGCAAATTTCGTATTCTAATTTTCTATTCAAATTGAAAAATTTGTGGTTTTTTTTATAAGTTGTTATAGCTGTTTTGTAGCTGTTGTTGATGTTGTAATTGTTGTAAATTGTTACTGAAATTTTTGTTGCATTTTGATTGATTTCATTTTGTACTTGTAGTTTTTCTTTGTATTTGATAAATTTTTTTATTACAGTAACGAAAATTTTTATGCAATTACAAAAGAAAACTAAGACAAACCACCAACATACAAATTTTTTAAAATTTTCAACGTAAGAGAAATTTTGATGCAATTTTGTTTTTCGTATTCAATTTTCTAATCCAGATGTTAGCACTTGTTGCTGGAATTGACCATCGCTTAATTACTAAATGAAAAAAAATTACTGCTCTTTTGATATTCTTTTAGGAGTTTTGTTTTTTTTTTGAAATGCAAAAAAAAAAAACTTTTTAAAATTAAAATATTAATACTATAAAAATGAAAGGTATTTAATCTGAGTTATTCAAAATGAAAAGAAAAACTACTAATTTAAATTTACTTTAAAATACATATTTTACATATATTTATATATATATATAATTTATACAGATATTATATATATATACGAATATATGTATATGATTACTTTTGTCCATTGATTCAGCTTTTAATTCAGCTAATGACATTTTTCTTGGTGTACCCATTATACAACGTATTGTTTCATTTAAATCATCAACAGCAGATGGACGACGATTTTCATTCGAATATTTATTACTATTAGTTAAACTTGATTTTCTAGCGATTTCAACTGCTGTAACAGTTGTCACTTTATCAGTAACAACATTAATATCACTATTACTAGGCGTTGCAGTAGTACTAGCTGTAGAATTGCTAACTGTAGTAGTTTTACTATTACTAACAATTATAGAATTTTTATATTCATCAACTGTTGTTGCAAATGGTTGTAATTCAGCTTGAGTGCTATCATCTGATATTCGAAAATACGATTGGATTGGTATTCGGCAGAGAAAATGTAGACAATAAAAAAAATGTGTTTTCTTTTATTTTTATATGGTTTTTACAATTACAAACACAAAAATTAGTTATAAGGACAGAAAGAAAACAAAAAAAAAACATTGTTTTTATTAACGATTTTTCACCTGTTAAAAATTGTTGTTGAGATTGTTGTTGAAATATTTGTGATTGAGGCTGCTGTAAATCAAATTGTAATTGTTGTGTATGCTGTTGCCCTCCAATTGAAAGATCATCAGATGGATCATAAAATGGATTTGGTAATGGAGCATCAGCAGCTGATAAATCCAAAACTTTGACAACTGCTTACAAAGAATTCGATTTGATGGTTTTAAGTACAGAATATATATATGTAGATATATTTATATATAAATATATATAGATGTACAGTAAAAATATTATGTATTTTGAATTTGGTAAACAAGAAATTAAAATATTTCTTTTTATTCATTAAATTTTTTTATCCAATTTTTCGCCTGAATTCGATTATTTCAGTTTATTAAATATAAATATTTTCTTGTGAGCAAAAAATTTTTTTAGTGCTGAATATCACACACACACACGCAATTCTATTAATACTTTTATTAGATTATTCATATTATAATTAAATGTTTTAGAATATTAAATTAAAGCAAACGAAATAAAGGACTAAATCAAATATACAAAATATCGCATTGTAAATTTTTTATTCAATTCAGCAATTACAATGAAACAAGAAAATTTTGAATACTAAACCTATCCTCTTACAATGTGATATAATATGATTAATTTGATATTTCAATCCGGTTAGCAGAGAATAACACACTGTGTTTATATGTATAAATAATAATTTTTGCATATAAGAACTTTAGCAGCAAATTAACAACATTCCGTTTATATTTTTAAATAAAAGACATGTAATGCCTACTGAAAAAGAGGCAATATTTTCAATTGTCTTTAAAGCTAAGGATGTAAAATATGATTGCAATATTGTACATTGCAGTAACCTTAAGGCTACAAAAAAATTTATAAAACTTTAGTTAATTTTTTTTTGTTTTCGAAATTTTAATGAATTCTTTTTGTTAAGAAACCTTTAACTGTACTATTGTATTTAAAATGTCGCATTAAAAAATTTAAAAATTTATAAATTTCAACGTGCAGAAAAATATTAACAAATCACAACGGAAGAGGATTGCTTATTGCCATTAAATTATTACTGTTATTAATAATTTAACTTTGTAATTTTCACAAATTTTATTAAAGTATTTAAACAATTCTTATAAGACTTATAATGTGTGTCAGCTGAATTGAATTTTTCTCATCACATTTAGATAAAATTTTAATATACATACTTCTAAAATACTAAAACTAAATTTTCTTTTCACTCATAATTTTTGGAATATAATCCGATACTAGTTATTATTAAATTTATTCTTGTAACAGTTTAAGTTTAAATGCATTTTTTAAAAAGAAATTTCAATAAAAACGAGATCGTTTCTGTTTTGTTTTTCAGATTTTAAATGCTTTTTCCCACATACGTGCAAGATCATAATAGAGGAATCAATAATAATAAAGTAATATTAGTTTACATTTAAATATAGAATTTAAAAAAAAAAAAATAAATAATATTATTGAATTTTTATTACTTTTTCAATGATATTAAATAATTTCTAAAAAACAAAATAATTATTATTAGTAAATAACCTTTTAAAGTTATATATATATGCAAATATTTAAAGTGTATATTATTATATTAATTGAAATTATACTAATAATATAATTTTGCTATTTGAAATTTATGAAATATTAATATAATTTGTTGTTAATATTTATTATAATAAAAGAAAGCCTTGATAAATAAAGCCGGTTATATAATTTTAATTATATAATTTATAATAATAATTTATATACATATATACATTTTATTAATCAAATATAATTTACATTTAAAAATGTTTACCCATACTTTATTAGTCGTATCATTTCAAATAATTTGATATTATTCAAGATGAGATATAGAATTCTAATTTCCGATTTGATTTTATTCAGAATTTTTGAATAACAATTCATCATGTCAAGAGATGCGACTAACAGAATATGCACGGTTATTTTAATTGAAAACATTTCTTATATATAACCAAAATTTGTTTTAAGATTACATCATTTGAGCGTACTCTGATTCAATATATCAAATTTATTATAATTAATTAAAAAACAAATTTGAAACCGAAAAATTTCATTGTTCTAAAGCTCAAAATTACATGTTTAAAAGATATTAGTTTTAATTTTGGAATACATACTGTTAAATTTTATACATAAATTTTAAATTAAAACAAAAATTTTTAATGATAAATTTTTGTTTTAATTTAACTTGAAATTAGTCGAAATTGTAATTTTTGTTACTCCGAACACGGGTTTAAATAATATTAATAATATTTGTTTTATGAATATATATCATTACAACAATAATTTTCGACAAATTTTACTCTATACTATTAACGTAACTTGTAACTAATTTCGATTTCATACAGACAATAACATTATTTAACAATTATTTGTAAACACTTATATATTATTTTATGTATATATGTATATGTAAAATAAATTAAAATAAACTATAGTAGATACATTGTTAATATTAGAATTGAAAACAAAAAAAAAATCATGCACTTTTTAAAAACATATCGCTTTCTAGTTATTGAAACTGACAACAAAAAATTTTTTTAATTTTTCTTTGTTCTAATAAATAAAATAATTTTTTTTTCTTTATTACTAAAAGCGATTTAAAAAAATTAAAAATTATTTTTTTCTTTTGATTTTTAAGTCCATTTTTAATGTCTTTTCTTATAATTATCTTACCAGTTGGTTCTGTATTACCAAATACAGAAGAGAAATTACTATCTGAGACAAATGCATTCGTTGTGGATTGTGTTCCGTTGAAACCTAAAATTTAATAAAAAATTTATTAGAAAATTAAAACCAAAATTCAAAAAAATACAAATTAACACTAGAATACTTTGACTACTGAGATTTGATTAACAGACATAATTATATAACAATCGAAAAAGAATAAATTTACTACAAAAATTAAAAAACGTGCCTATATAACAATGAGAAAGAAAAAAATATTTTAAAAATGCACTTAAATTTATCTTAAATTTTTCTTTATTGACGGAAATTATTACTTTAAAAAGTCTACATTCTTTATATTCAAAATATTTATTAATTTACTTATTTTTATTTAAATATAAAAAAAATTCTTACTAGAAAATTATAGTGTTTGGACATATTCTATCGAACTTTCTAAACAAATTTTAAAAAATATACTTATGTAACATGCATGGTGATAACATTTTTGTTTAAATATAGGAACATTTATTATTACCTTTATGAATTAAATAAAAAATTAAGTATTTCAAAAAAATTTTTAAATTTTTTGCTAAAAATAAAAAAAGCCGTATATAATTTACAACACAAATCTCGAAATACAAATATTTTCACATTATAACAAACACCAAAAGTTGAGAATTTCAACATTCTTAGGTATAAATAAATAATTGTTACTCTACTAATTAAAAAATTAATTACTGAATAAACTACTATTTATGAACTAATGATGTTACAAAGTAAAACTTTCCAAACGATTAATTGAAAACTTTAAAGTTAAATATTTAACAAATCAATTTAAAAATAAGATAACTTCAAGCAAATTTTTTACAAATCATAATTAATAAATCAATTATTTAATAAAGTATCTAAATAATAAATTTTCCAATATTTTTCAACTGTAATATTTCAGTAATAATTTCCTAAAATATATAGACCTTTCAAATTGATTTAAATTAGATAAAGACAAATAGTAATGAAATAAATACATAATATATATATTATATATATATACATAAATATGTAGATATATGTATATAGATAAGACAAAATTGTTAAAAACAAATTATATAACAAAAAAAAAAATAACAACAACAAACTCTACCATTACTCATCCAAACGTTATTATTAAGGTTATTTGATGTTGAAGCACCTTGAACTGCTGCTTGACCAGTTGGTGCTGCAGCACCGCCAGAAGCACCAAACATATCTGCAAATGGATTACTTAATTGTAATAAATCATCGGATGTTTTTGTTTGTGCTGGTGCAGCTCCACCATCTCCACCAAATAAATCAACAATATTTGTATTTGCAGATGAAGCAGGTGGTGATGCCAAAAATGGATTTGTTAATTGATTTGTTGGTGAAGAAACTTTCGACTAAATTTTATTTTTTTAAAAAATATAAAAGAAAGAAGAACAAAAAAAAATTATTTTCTTTTTTATTATAAATTTATTAGAAAATTGAGGTTTATGTACATTTACTTTATATTGATTCATAGCAGCTTCTTCTTCCGCTAATGCTTGTGCCTTAATACTTTCATCAATACCATTTGCACTTGAATCAAATTTATTGGAGGCAACAGCAGTTCCAAATGAAGAGCTAGTGGAAGATAGGGCAGTTACACCACTTTTTACGTTCTTTTGGTTACTACTTTTTTTGTTTTTTTTTTTTAATAATTTAACATTTTTAATGTGTTTTATGAAGTTTTTTTTTTTGTGCATAACAATTTGAATTTTTTTATTAAAATTTAGTATTTAAAATTAATCAATTTATACAAATAATAATTTTAAATTTGAAAAATAATTAACGTTTAATTTTTAATAGCAATGAAAATTTAAATTAATATTTATTATTTAAAAATTAGAATAAAATAAAATATTAATTAAAATTATATTACGTTTACATTACGTTTTATATGAAATAATATTAAAATATTGGGAAATAATTTAAATATGAAATTGAACAAAATTTAAAATAAAATTAAAAATTTTATATTGCACACATTTTAATAACAAAAAAAATGTTTTTTGATTTTTTTTTTTTGTTTTGTTACAGCATAGTTACGAAGAGCGAATTTGTACAGTTTTTTTTTAGAACGTTTTAAATAAAATGTGTAATAGGAGCAGTAGTAATATACAGGTTTAAAGTGGAAAATAAAAAGAAATAAAAAAAATAAATAAATAAATAAAATATTTCAACATGAATAAAGACTAATTATTAGAGATAAATTTACAATATTAATTACTTTTTAATCAAAATATGCAATTAAAATAATAAAAAATCAATAATTCAAAATATAATTTTAAAAAACTTTGATATTACAATATAAAATGGAGTCATACAAACTACCATATAATAAAATTGCAAGCAAAATTAATGAAATTTCTCAAATATAACTTATAGTGAGACAAAATTAATTTACATATAATTATCAATTTAAATACGATTATATTGTTTTCACCATTTCAAGAAATTTAAATATTCTATAAAATAAATATATTATAAATTATAACATATGTATAACAAGAAAATATCTCGATAATAGAAAGTTAAAATTTAATATTTTGAAAAGTCATGCTTTAATTTGTTTTCTTCAATTTTAAGTAGAAACCTTTTTCTAATTTCATTTTCAATAACTTAACGCAACTCTCGGCAAACTTTTGTTGCTAAATATGTACTATGTGATTATGAATATGGGCCATTCGAGTTTATTACATTTCCTACTTACAATAAGAAATGACATTTTCAACTGACTTTATACATTGTTTTGTTTTGACAAAGAAATTTATATGAAATTTTATTATTATATAATATGATTGAGTTCTTAAAATTTTTTTGAAAAAAATCTTTCAACTATTGATAAACGCAATCGAATATTTTTCTTTATTTGGCAGCAGAATGATGAGCCGGATTTTAAAGTTAAAATAAGAAATTGGAAATATAATTTTATAGAAATGATTATAAAATATGAATCTATACGTGACAGAATTATGTTATATAATATTTGAGTTATTTACCTAAAATTTTAATTGTAATGTAGGAACAAAATAAATACATTTAAGGAAAATCTTTAAACGTATTCATCAATATTATTAGCAACAAAAGTTTAAAAGCTTTACATTTTTATAAAATAAACCTACTGAAATTTTAATAATCGTATTACAAATTAAAAATTAAAAAACTTGGGTAAACTAAATAAATTCAATAACGAACAAGTGCATAAAAATTTTACTAAAAAATTAAAATAATCAGAAATTTTATTTGATAAATTCAAATTAAACTGATATATCACTATTAAACTAATATTAAATGAATTTTTTCCTACATAAATGTTTATTTATTGCACGCTTTTTTAGCTTTTTTATTTGTTTTATTTCAATCGTACAATTTTATCTCTTAATACTTAATAGACGAAAACAAACCTTGCTGACTGTGTTGGTGTATTGGCTGCAGATAATTTTCTTCCTTCTAATTGAGCTAAATGCTGTTCTAATGCATCCAGTAACGAACTAGGTGCTTTCGTTAAATCTGGTATATCACCTTTATCAATACCAACATTCTAAAAAATTTTAACAATAAATATTTAAATATTTAGAAAATAAAAAGAAAATTTAAAGTCATATTATAATATGTCCGACAACATTGTATTTTTTCTGAGTTTATCCTAAATTTATAAAATTTTATTCACATGAATAAAATAAAAAATAATTTATAAAGACATCAAATATGTTTGGATTTTTGAAGAGAACCTATTTATTTTATTTTGTATTCTACTGTATACAATATTGTCGATAAAATATTCATTACTTCAATAAAATATTTTTATACATACTTCTGCAACTTTTAAAAATTCACCAACTTTATCCATACGAACTAAAAATCTTTTGTATAAATCAAGTGCATCTCTTGCTTGTTTCTTATTCATATCGAAATATTTTTCCAATAAATTTATAATTCCATCATTATAACATGCAAATAAACGTATGAGATCTCTAAATAATAGCATGAAACACATATTTATAACACCTGTGAAAATAAATAGATAGTTATATATACATATATAGTTTGAATAAATTAAAAAATCATGTGATTATAAAATAAAAGAGGTAATAAGGAAATCATGTCAAATATTTTCTTAAGCGAAAAGACTACCTCAAATCCTAAGTTTATAAAATTTCAGTTGAAATATTTTACACATCCTATGCAAAAATTACATTAATACTCATAAAAATTATATTTTATTACAATATCCAAAATGTTTTACTAAAAAAACAACACTTATAAGTTCCTGATTTCATTTTAATAACGCAATTTTATTTAAATTTTACCCAGAATCAATAAACATACTTAAAAAAAAAAACAAAATTCAGCATTTTCATTTAATAAATTTTTTTTTCATTTTTGAATTTCACTTTAAAATATTGTGATATTATAATTTATGAAAATAGAAGTTATTTGTATAAACTAATTTAAATTTGAGGTAGTCTAAAAAAACAAGCCATTTTCTAGAATTTCTGCTGAATTTATATTGAAAATAAATTAATTGTAATTGACTATACAAAACAAAAATTAATAATTAAAAATAAAAGTAAAATTAATTTCTTACACTAAATTATGAATAAATAAATAAGAAAATAAATTAAATAAGTACAAAAGTAAATTAAAAATAAGCTTAAACATTTCAATAAAATTGATTCTTGTTTTTTTTAATTAATTAGTGTGCTGTAGCTTTTTGTGTGGTTAAACAATGATTTTTGTTTATGGCTTTATTATGGAAATTATTTAAATTAAACTTATAATTGATTTCTAGTTGATTTTAAATCTTACTTCTACTGTGTAGCGTTTATTATCTCTTTGACACAGATTTTATTTTATAGATTTACATATTTTGCATTATAATTTCATGTCATAACGAAAATCTTTGAACAGAATTGAATTCAAAAATCAATCTTCTAAGAAATTATAAGACAAAGAGGCAAAGATATTTTTAGATAGGTTTTGTTTTCTTCAAAAATTGCTCTTGTATTTGTAGAACGAATGAACTATTTAAAATACTTTATTTGAAATTTATAATTTTACCAGACAAATTGAAATTATTGAAAAATTATTTTCTTAAATTGATTATTAAAAAATTATTTTCTTTTATACATTTTTGAAATATAAAAATTTTATTTCTGGTAAAAACAAGGTTTTTAAACAACGAATTATTAAAATTTTTGCAAAATTCGCACTTTTATTGCAAAATAACAAATTAACTAATTATTATAAGAAATAAAATTAGCGTAACATATTACCTCTACCCCACCTGAAACCGTCGCAAGACGGGTATTGGAGTGGAATCCGCAGTGAGAAGAAGTGTTAGCTGGCCCAAGAATACGTGGCAAAGAACAATAAAGAAAGAAATCGCCACGGCTATTATGACATGGGCAGAAGTAAAAAGAATGGCCCCTAATAGAGTTCTTTGGAGAAGCTTTGTGGAAGCCCAATACTCCCACGGAGAGTGAGTAAAGCAGGAACAAAAAAAAAAAAACTACCTCTAACATTATATGAGCAATAATATAATTTTTTCAAGAATTTTTGGAATGAAATTGTCTTTTATAAAAAAATGGTGTCTTATGATAAAATTGTGCATTTGGACACAATTCTGTTTGTGTTCGATTTTTTTAAAATTAAAAACAAAAAACAATTTTTTTTTTTTGTTCTTCATATCATACAAATAGCTTATAGTTAATATTTTAACTACTTTGTGCTAATAGGTGCACAATATCGCCTTATACATTTACATAAATTATAGCGCTAATTATAAAACATATTTTATACTAATAGTTTATGAATAAAAATCATGTCTAAAAAATATTATAGCTGTCATAGCAGATTATTACTTATTTTTAAATAAATATTTAATGTAAGCAAAATATTGGCACATATTTGAAATATAATAATATTTAGATAGATTTATGTATACATATATATATACATATATACATAAAAATTATGATAGATGTAAGTATTGTAAGTCAAAAAAAAGATTAGAAATATTTGCAAAATAAACTTGAAGAAAATTAAAATTTTTTAAATTTCAATGATTTAAATATTTGCTGCTGAAAAACGCAGTGTTGTAAAAAAGAAATTGTGAATTCTTAGAAAATTTCGAAAAAAAATGTGTTTTTCAGTGTTACATAAATTGAAAATGTGTTATATAATAATTTGTACACCTTGTACCATGTACCAAACGTAATTAACTTTTTTCTATACAATACATCAAGTTTAACTCCCGGAAAATTTTAATATTTTGAAGAAGTGAATAAGTATTTTCATGTATAACAATTGTATGCACTTTATAAAAATAAATTGGATATTTATTTAAAATTATATTTTCCTTTTTACGAATTATCAAAAAAGAAAACGAAATTTGAAAATTACTTAAATTATATTGAAAAGTTTAATTAACTACTATTCAAAGAAAATATTGTAATTTATATTATAAAAGTTTTAAGTTTTAATTTTACTGCTTCTCAATATTATAACAATAATTTTAATTTTAACATTCAAAAATATTTCAAATTACGTTTGGTATACATAAGAGTATAATATTTTTAAATTGAGAGTGAAATTGAATTCAATTTATTTATAAAATTATTTTGTTAAATATTCTAATATAATACACATATATGTATATATCTATATGTATATATTTATGTATATATACATTTATTTAAAAGTTATTAATTAATTACTTAACAAATATTCTTATATTTTATTAAAAATTATTTTACCTAATCGTTTTCTTCCAAGATATGGATGATAATATGTGTATACAAGTAATGCAATTGCAAAAGGTATTAAATATTGATGTTTTTTTAGTATAGGACATTTTGGAACGACTTTTTAATTTTCAAAATATAATTTTTTTTTTTAGTTTAATTATATTTTTACATTATAATTTTCAGTAAATATTTTAGTTTTTGTTAGTATATATTTAGAATTTTATATTCAAAAAATTAGTATGTGTATGTATGTGTACATATGTAAAAAATACACAATTTTGTTTAAATATTTGGAAAGAAAAAATTGAAAAAATATAGATAATTTAAAGAAAATAAAATATTAGTAAATATAATCAAAAATTTTAACTTAAATATTATAATATAATAATTAATGCAATTAAATTTTGAAAGCTTTTAATTTAATGAACTATTTTGTAATTGGATTAAATTTAATGGGCAACAATTGTACCATTTCGAATTTTCTTAATAAATAATCTTCTTATCTACATCATAAAACATAAAATTTGAAAACAATATTCTCACTCTGTACGTTTATCCGTACGTCTATTTACAAAAATTCTGCACGCTTGAATTTAAAAAGCTGAAAATTCATATCCACATAGATCTTCACTAGAAACCTATTTCCGTAGAAAAAAATTTTTACCTATCTCCACCCGTTTAAAAGCTATATTCCCTCAAAATTCAAAAAATGCAATTTTTTGACTATTTATTTTAATACCACAAATATTTTTTGAAATTTGCAAAAGAAGAAGTTTCTTCTACCTTGGAATATTTAAAAAAGCAAAATGGTCGTTAAAATAAAGCCTTATCTATTATTATCTATTATACAGGTTGCAGGAATTTGAAATTTTAGTATCTTTAATATAAAAGGTTTATTTCATTTAGAAAGTTTATTCAGAAAATTTTTTTCCACCTCCACCCTCTCTTAAATTATCGCCTCTAAAAATTTGCAAAATTTGAATTTGCTTCTCCATATATTTCGCAAACCTCAAGGTTTTCCAAATCCCTGTAAATGCAGAAAACTGACGGGAAATGCCATGCCAACAAAAAAATATAATTATTTTTCTTAACTAACGCAATAACCGGTCTTTGAATCCGAGCATGTCAACGCCTTTTTAAATTTTCATTTGTTTTATTTTGAAGATTGCATACATTTTTCATCCTAAAAATATGCAATCTTTGAAATATTTTTTAATGAGTGTAATTTAAATAAGATAATTGATTGTTTTAAAAAGCAATTTTTACTATTTTAAAAGCAACCTGTTAAAGGGTAAAGTGCTACTTTACAAACCATTAGTTTAACCCAACTTTACTAATAAATATTTTTGTACCGAACTATCCCTTTACTCGCCTGCAAAAAATCATTGACTAACTAAAACCATTGAATAACTATTTCCATTTTCAGAAGCTTAAAGTATACTTCAATTTAGTATTTTATATTACAAAAGAATATATAAGAAATTATATATTTTGTCTGTTTTGTCTATGTAAATTATATATTTTGTCTATAATATTTACAAAAAATCAATTACTTTTTTAAAAACTACTTTCCAGCTGTTATGACCATTATTAAAATTAAAAATGCTAAACATACCTAAATAAAATCAAACCAGACCTCTTGCATTCGAATCCTAGTTGCAAGAAGTATAAATCCTAGATGTATACGTTGGGCTAGTTTCTCCTAGTTCTTGCAAATGGAACAAATATCTACGACAGTGGTATTAAATAAAAAATTCTCTTAATAATAATATCTAAATTATTCAGTTAACTTAACTAGGATATGAATAGAAACTCTAGTAAAAAAAATTAACTAGAATATAGTTATCGTTTTCTAACTAAGTTAAGAAGTAGATTTTCAGTGACTCCAATTTAATGTATCAATTTAGTTATGACTATCCGTTTTCTAGTCGATTTTGTTTTAGAGAGAACTTATATCTTAAATATATGAATTAATGACAGGTACAATCGCTGCATTTTGTATATTTAAAGCTATTTACATTATCATAATTAAATAATTATTAAAAATCGAAATTTAATTTCTTTCTTTTAATATTTTTCAATTAAACCATAATAGATACAATAATGATGAAATTTTTACAAATAACATGGTTTTAAAACAACATTCTTCGTATATTTTAATAAGGGATTAAAATTTTACATAAAATAAAATTAAATAGCACAATTAAGAATGTTTTTAGAAATATTTGATCAATAATATATAATATAATCGAAAAATATAATTTAATGAAAATTATATTTCATAAATAAAATCTTAATTAAAAAATTGTTACAACCGAGGGGACACATGTTATGTGCTATTGAAAACTTTAAAAAAAATTAATATAGACTGTAAAATAATTTAACAAAATTGAATAAATTAAATTTATATTCAACTTACTTCAAATAATATGTAAATCATATCATTAGTTAATTTTTAAGTGTTGTTTTATATTATAAAATTTAATATTAAATTTATATTATATTATTAAATTATAATTTTCCTTATATAATTTCTTAACTAAATATTTGTATACAAGTACATAAAAATGAATTATCCTTTAAGGACAATAATAGTTCATTGTTAAATATACAATCGATTTTTGTTTTTCAATTCTTATAATAATTATGATAGTAGGCAAATAGTGGATTTTTTTACTTATTAAAGAACATTATTTTAGAACCTTTTATCTATAGCTCAAAAACTGTTAAAAAACAACTCAGAAAACTTTGTTTTATAATTTTTGCATAGGATTGAGACTATAATTTAATTTATGTATTTCTGATTGAGATTATAATTTAATTCTGTAATAATAAATTTACTCCAAAAACTTATACCTAAATTATTTGTAACAGTTTTTTTTTTGGTTAAAAAAAATATATTGAAAACTTGCAAAAAAAAATGGTACTTATTAACTATAATAAAATTTTTTTTTAAATTTACCATTCACTAAATCATTTGCTTGACAATCAAATTCTAATAATGCATCCAATTGTCCTTGTAAAACTGGTAATGTTTTCAATAATTTATCAGCATTCATTGTTCGGAGGGATCCTTCTTCTTTTCTAAAATTATTATTTAATTAATAAGTAATAAATCACTAATAAATCTAATAAATTAAGCAATTTTATAATAAAAAAAAATGTAATTTTTTTATTTGTAAAACTTACCCTCGTTTTACTTTACAAAAATCAAAAGCAACTGTACGGTATGATAGGGCTTTTTCATTTAAATATTTTGCATATCGTCTAATAAACGGTGACATATCATAACCTAAAATATTAAAAACAAATTAATAAATAATAAAAACGATATATATTAATTTGCACCTATATAAATTACATTAAATTTTTAAAATTAAGAAAAAAACCAAATTAAAAAAATATTTTTAAAAAAATGATATTATCAAGACAAAGTATCTGATTATAACAAACATAATGTTTAAGTGTTAATATGATCAGACATAAATGTATAAACTTGAAAAATTTGTTCATATTAGTCTTATTTATGTACATTAAACAATATTTGTAAAATTTTACAATATATTACTTTATTGCTGCAAGTTAGTTCAATTTGTTACTAAATTTAAATTGTTATAAAAAAGTTACGAAATAAATGACTTGAACAGTCCAAATAAGTGACTGAAAAATTCATACTTTTTGTATAATATTCAATGTTTATAAGAAGTACTTTTATTGAAGAAATAATTTATTATTTGTTCTTAAAATTTTGACGAAATATTTATCAAAGCATAAAGTAATACGTGTCGAATATCGAAAAACAATTGAATGACTTACAGTCAAAAGTTTGACAACAGAATATATTTTTCATAATTTTATATAGAAATAGAGTTAAATAGAGTCTGTGTTATACTATAAATATTTATATAATAGCCCCGGGTCGTCCGACTTCAGTCGTTATAAAATGTGAAAATGAAATTCGGTGAAAAAAAAAATCTATTAAAATTTCGTTTTAACAAAAACCCAAAAACAGAATGAGATTTTCTTTAATTTTATGAAAAATCAAATTTAATAAAGTCAAAATTTTCCATTTGATCCTCTTTTTCTATATTTCTTTTTCTCATTTTTATTTACTTTATTGAGCAGAATTACGTCAAACACAGTATATGCAAACGCTTTCAAATTGCATAGGTATATTCTATTTTGTTTATTAATAAAAATCATATGGCAATTTCCGAACATGAAATTTAAACTCGAATGGATAGCAATTTCAGTATAGATATGAATTCGGTCAAAAAACAGAACATGGGTAATTAAATTTTTCTAATTTTTAAGTACTTGTAAAATATTTTTAATTATTTCACTAATTGAGCAAAAAATTGGAACGAAAATTAGTGTTTTAAATTAAATATATTTTTTAGATCAATTAAAAATAATTTATTTTACTTTTAAATAATATGTATGTATGTTAAAAAAATTAAATATTAAAATGAATATTAAACTAATATTAAATTAATATTAAAAATTAACTTATTATTATATGAGAAAAAAATTACTTGTTATAAAAATTAAAAAATAAACCAACAAAATAAATAAATTCAAAGCATTTAATATTAAAAATTTTATTTATACAAATACATATATTATACATACATAAATACAAATGCATATTACTTACCTAATCTTGCATTTGGGACACCTAAGTATTTATTTTTTTATTTTATTTTTATACAAGTTGTTAATAGTTGTTAATTATTATATTTTTAAATAAGAATATATATGTGAATATAAATACATATACATAATAATATATGATATTTATAATAATTTATAAACACAAACCATTAGAAGAAGAGAAATAGAAAGAAAAAAAAAAGAGAAAAAAGCATTTTGTTAGTTTTTCATTTTATATTTAATTAAAGTTAATAAACGAAAAAAAAATACTCACTTCTGACACCAAAACTCTATCATTATTTGTACAATTTTGTATCTATATGAAAAAAATCCGGAAAAATTACGAAAATCAAAAAAAAATTCACAAAAAAACAGAAAAGATCGAAAATTTTTTAACGGTTTTCATAACTCTCTTTTTCTTAAAAGACTTATGTATGTACATATGTATATGAAGTTATACAAATTGTGTCAGAAATGATATTTTGTATTATGTAATCTTAAATCTAAAGCGCATATGTATTTTAATAAATATACTTATATTTGATACACGTATGTAGTTTTTTTAAGCAAGAAGAATTCGATTTTGATGTGTTCGTGTTATGATGTGAAAAATGTTCAATTTTCAAAACTTCATTGTGGCAAAGCACATAATAAAGTTTTATTTGAAATGTTGGCATCACTACTGTTATTCCAACCAACAATTCAAAATCAAAAATTTAAAATATAATTAACAATTTGCATCAGGCGAATATGCGTTATGTATTTTGATGTAACATATTTTTCTTGTAAGGGGAGATATATTGGAGTCGGCCTCGCACGGTGATTAAAATAGAAAATTATTTATAAATTTTGTAAAACAACGCATTTTTCGAATATAAATTGAAATATTAGGGCAACTGATATTGGAAATTTTCAAATTACTAAAATATTATTTATAAAAACCAAAATTAGTTCTTAATAATTGGCCCTTATAAAACATTAACATGTTACACAATGCCTTATAAGTTTGATCAAATGATAAATACACCAAATTTTTTTTATTTTGTAAAATCTTTACACATTTTTCGTATTTTATAATAATTTTATAGACAATATGTTACAAACTAATTTATTTGAAAATCTGTAATAAATCCTAATCAAAACCATACAAAGTGTAAATACTCATTTGATAAATTATCAAAGCACTGGAAGAGATGAAACTATATTTAAAAAATGTTAAAATGTATATGTTTCTAATACCTCGATATTTACAAATACAAGAGATAGTGGTGAGAATTATATATTATACAATTATAGATATTATGTAATAAAATTATTACATTAATGTATGATTTTTTTTTTATAATTTTCATATGTGTATTTATACTTAATTGTTTTAATAATACACATAGGTATAAATGGGATATGTAATGTCACATTAGTTAATTGTCATGTTAATTTTGGAAAAAAAAAAGCAAGAATACATGGAAATTTCTAATACAATATATATACAAGACGATAACATTATTTTCAGTGCAATATATGGTATTGGTTCTATTGCATTTTATGAGACATTGGTGTGCAATAAAATTTATATTCAAAAAAAAAAAAAAAGTGAGTGCTTGCATCTCATTTTATAAATAATTAACATACCTTGTAGCCCTCCTTTATCGACAAAATTACTTAAATTAAATGATGAATTGCTAGATGCTAGGTACTGTATAAATCTCTAAAATATATAATAAAAATAATGGAAAATCAATTAGTTACATATCTAATTTGATATTTTTATTTAATTAAATTTTATTTATATATTTTCAAAAAAAAATTATTAATTGTCTGCAAATTTGAAATATGACCTGTAAATACGACTTGTATACTCGCGAAACAAATTTTTATAACACATAGTTAATAACTATGAATGAATGACAGAAATGATTTGTGAAAATTTTTTCTTGGCATATTTTTAGGATCATAAAAGGAAAGAGTAAAGACAATTAAGAGACAAGGGGAAAGGCAAAAAGAATGAAATAGAAAATCAGTTAAAATTATAAATTATATTGTTGAGTTATATGACAAAATTCCACGATTTAATCTCAACCTGGTCAGAAACAAATTAATCGTATAAACACTATTTGACATCAGTCAATTTTTGTGTGGCGGCAAATAATTCAAATTACTCTATATCTCATCAGATTTTCTGTCACATTTTTTAAAAGTAAAATGACAGCAATTAATTTTTTGTGAGAGTTATGAACAGCGATCAGCAGATTTTTATTTTAGTCATTATTTTCTTAGCAAATTTTTAAAATCTGGCATTAAGTTTGAGATAATTTCCGTGTGATGAGTAAACAAAAAGCAGGCTTTAATCTAACATTTTGTCGTATATTTAAAAAGTATCTGAGGAAGAATATTTGCTTTTTATTTTAAAGAAAATTTCCGTCATTCATTATAGCTTATAAAATATTTTAATTTTATACTGAATTTTGAAATATTAAAATGTAAAATTAAACGTCTGTTCTAACAAAACTTCTTCAATGTAAATTACAATGTTTAAAGATTCATTTGATTTTATATAAAAATATCTTTAAATCTTGAATTTCTACTTAACTTGCAACTTCCATTAAATCATACTTATTAAAAAAGCAACATTTCCATATAAATATATACATACATATATATATCTATATATATATAAGTATGCACTTTTATGTAAATATTATACATACTCGCTGCAAATACACTACAAAAGAACTCGTTTATCACCATTTTTTTAAGTACTTTTGTTCTTTTAATCGCTTAGAATTATAAATTGTATGTTAAGAATCTTATTTTAAATAGGTTAAAACTGTATATAGGCAAGTTAAAAGAATCCATCAGTTTTTTAAATCAAATTTTTATTAATGGAAAATAAAAAGTTGGTGTTCCGGTGTAAAATGGAGAAATATAAAAATAAACCTATGAATGATTTACACAATTATGAATATTGAAATGTATCAAAATCCGATAACCTTATTTTTGATCAATTTTAATATTTAATAATTAATTGCAATGTATTTTTCATAATTTAAATAGAATGTAGTAAAAGCGGTTTTAAATAATTTTAATTGAAAACTTTAATTTATAGAAAATTATTTTAGTTATATTGTTACCTCTTTGAATTTTGACTCAAAATTTATTAAAGTATTCGTTTCCGAAAGGAGATTTTACTTATGTGTATCTGGATTTACTAATTTGTGCCTAAAATAAGTGCAAATTTCAACACCAGAATTGGCGTTGGGCACGTTTTCATATCTTCGTATTATATTTATATACTTAGTAAATTTCATCTCATATTATGATCCCATTCAACCGCATAGTTTTACAACCCTTGCATCTAAATATGTTTGTATATAAAAAACATAAAAAGTTCCTTAATGCTCGAATATTGCTTCCATGAATATTAATATAATATTTTGCATAAAAGTCAGGTCATATAAGGTAACATCAAGAAAGGAGAATCATGTTTAAAGGATATTTTTCAATATTAGTTACTCTGTTGCATTTTATTTAGCATATACCCAAGAGGGTAATACCCTAATCCTATATGTGAATGAGACAAACTAAGCTATAATTATACATTTTAAGTACATACACATAACATACATACGTATATAGATATATATGCATATATTAATATAAAATATTTCTCTTTACCTAATGTAAAGAATAAAAAAAACCTAAAGGATAATAAACAAAAAAAAAAGTAGGAAAACTTTGCCCTACCTTTTTAATCACAATTAAAAAATGAACGTTTTTCATTTTTTTTTTTATTTTATTTTTACTTTAATAGTTTAAGTTACACAGAAAATAGCTACGGGCATTTGAATTTTCATTTAAAATTTTTCTTTTAACTCATTTTTTTTTGTTCCTTTATAAATGAAAGCAGAAAATTAGTTTTCTTAAAATGGCATGGACTGGGATAAAGTTAAAGTAAGTAAAACAATGGGAAGAAATCAGATAATTACCAGGTTTTTAACTTTTATGAACAATTGTTAATATAAGTATAACACAAATACAAAGTTTTAAAAATTAATAAAATATATTTTAATTTTTCACTTTGAAGCAAATTTTATTGAGCAACAGACCAGCAACTTTAATTCAACTTTAAATATTAAAGAAAACTTGCAAGGATCTTTAATGACGCGCGTGAATTTGCATGTGTAAGAATAAAATTGTCAGAAAGTTTAGAGTCAAATAAAAAACTAACTTTAGTTATGCTACAATCTCTATATATTAGTGGATGGAGGAAGATTCTGTAAAGGATAAAAAATTATATACTTTAACTTAGTGAATTGTAAGTGGGCAAAAATTTCGCTAGGGTCAACGGATTTTAGAAAATTTTATGAAATGTTTAATTGTTTTTTAGCTCTAGCATTCGTACCAGAAAAATAGGACCATCAGATAGAAAATTTTTGAAAACTTTTATTGTCCAAAACTAGAGTTGTAAATAATTTCGAATTTTATGTACTTACAAAGTGCAAAGTCACACAATATTCCAAAAATTAATGATTTTTACCTTTTTGACAGATTTTTCAAAAGTTTGAAAAAATGTTTCTATTGATTTTACTGTATTCTAACCGTCCATGTTAATAAAATTTTCAAACCGCTCAAGATAGAAAACTAGAATTATTAAAACTTACAAAAATAAATTAGAATTAATTTTCTATTTAAATTTTTTTATCATCTTATTTCCTTTCGCCTGGAAATTATAACTATTCAAGGTAATCAAAATGCAAACAATTATACCCAAACCAAAAGTAATTTGCAAATTCTGTAAACGTAAAAAGGACGGGAATTACTTATTACTAAAATACTTAAAAAAACCTCATAAACAGAATAACTCGCTGATTGAAGTCAAATTACCCCTTATTTTAAATCAGTTTTTTACTATTTTTTTCTTTTACGCTACTTTAATAAGTCTCAAATTTTAATAGTTCGTAAACATTGACAAATATTTAATGTTCTAGCAAAACTCAATTTCTTTTCACCCCCACCAAAATTTGTACCTATATAGAGTGACACTTTCATACTTTGCAGAATTTAATTTTTTAGTACCATACTTTTTAGGCAATTAAATATCCTACATTAAGATTTCTCTTATACTCAAATATTATACGTTTATATTTCAGCTAATTTAATTAGTACAACAATTCAGCCTTTATGCTAACTATTTATCAAAGACTTCTCTCAAATTTATACGGTACAAAGAGAATTATTTGTTCAACAGTGATAAATAATTACAAAGCTCTATATACTTGAATTGTTAAAAGTAAATGTGCAATTCCAAAAAACTTTTTGATTTATCCCATTTTTTTTTACCATAATATAAAATATAAAACTATATGTATGTGTATTTGGGGATATACTTTAATATGTATTTTTTTTTACTTTAAAATTACCTCATTTCCATATGCTAATAGATGATGCGTTGTTAATAGCGCTTTATATACCACTATCCAATTTGTATTTTGTGAACGTTCAATAAGTAAATTAGCCAAGTGTGGAATGGATACATTTGGTTCATTTGTACAATGGACTAAATCTGAAATAGAATAAAAGGGAAAGTCATTAATATATATTTATCTATATTTATATTTATAATCATAATTTTATATAAATAAATCACAACTAATAAATGTACTAAGAGTTTGACAAGAATTTTCTTTCTAGATTCTCTAAGAAAATTGTAATATAAAAATTATATTTGTATAAATTAATGAACATATAGGCATTATTATGTAAATATATTTTCATTATTAATTATTATTATAACTATTTGTAAATATCACGTAACCTATATGTATTTGCGTGTAGAAATTAAAATTTAACGTAATATCATTAACCAAAACGGAATAAATATTGCTTTTAGTGTTATAAACTAAATCAATGAACTGTGACCATATATATAAATAAATTTTATATTGTATTCGCCCTGAATTTTTAATTAATTGGCGTTTTTCTTAGATGTACTTTGAAAAAAAAAAAGAAACACATTATTCTTTGAACTTGTAATCGGAAATTCCGATCAAGTGTTACATTTTTTCCAGAGTTTAAAATTAAAGATGATTGCAATTTACTGCTACATTATAATTGTAAAATAATACTTCATTTTCTTAAAGGACAACAAAACTGTGTTAAATTCTAACATTATAGAAATTAGAATATCCGAATATACTCTTTTATCTATGAGTTTTACAAAAATCACATATTTTTTCCCCTTTTTAGATTAAACACACATAATTACAAATGAAAATATTTTATGTTTAAATTTATTAGAGCGTTTCAATATAAATGAAGCTGCCTCCATTCTTATTCATACTTCCTTTAATTATAGAATTTACAGAATTTACCTTTGGGTATGTACACTCAAAAAAAATTCACTATTTTTTTAATAAATCGATTATTAAAAAGTTTATTAAAAACCTTAACAATCATTTTTATTAAAATAATATTATTTATTATGAAAGTAATGTCATTTATTATTGTTGGAACTGTAAAAGATTATCTTTTTTATAATCGCCCATTCAAACTTATTTTAAACAACAAAACTTTTAAAATAATCACGAAAGTTTTTGAAAAAATAAACGTTATTATTAAAACTATGTAAAAAATTATCAAATGTACAACCTTCTCTGAAATAGTCTCTGAAAATATTACTTTTAAAATAATAACAAAAATTGTTAAAATTTGTTATTAAAAAAAAGATATTTATTATTATTTTAATCACAAAAATTGTTATTTCGATCGCAAGTCATAGAATTAATAATAAGAATCATCAGTATAACGTTACTTCTTGTTAAAATTAGAATCGATTTTTAAAATATTAGTCAATTTGTTCGTTTAATAATTTTTGCAATAAAATTTTCGAAATTTTTGAGAGTGAGAGAATAATGTAAATTATTAACAAGAGATCTTTTGAGTTTTTTGCGCAATGTAAGTTTCAAGTCATTAATATAATAGCATTGCTTATTATTCGAATAAGAAGTTTATTATTTTTGTTGAAATATCATTATACGTTAATGTTATTACTTACCAAATTTTCAAATATTTTGGGAGTGGAGACAGTTGTCTACTTCCTTATAACGGGATTTTTTGAGAGATATAAATTTCAAGTTGTTTAAGTAATAACTTTGCTTATTATTTCAATAACAAATTTATTATTTTTGACGAAATGTTATAATTTTAATAAAAACATTTATCAAAATAAAAATAAAAAGAAAGAGTTTTGCAAATTTCTCATTTAATATTTTAGTAGTCATCTAGAAGCAAAACAAACAACATATTCTGTATTGTTGCAGTAACAATTGTGAAACTTTAAATAAAATTCAGTTCTAATTGTCAAAAAAAAAATTAGTGAGAATTTTAAAGTATTTATAACTTAAAATAAGGAATAAAAAAATAAAATAAGTTATAAAATAGAATAAAATAAGGAAAATGTAAAATTAAGGAAATTTTTCAAGGTAAGTTAATAAACGAAAATTTTCGTAAAGATTAAATTAAATTTTATTATTTTTTTTCTTGTTGAATATGTGTATGTATACCTAGAAGCAAACATAGATGTGCAAACGTTTTTACACTTGCAGCCACACCATATTTTTTTTAATTTAAGATATAGAAGTACTAACAATTAGGAGCTCAAGTGCTTTTAGAAGAACACATTTTGCTTTGGCAAAAAATTGAAAGTAAGTTTAAACTATTTTTTCTATCAAAGAGAAAAAATAATTGGGAAAGTTAATTGTTATTGTACTCGTAATACTTAAATTTAAATTTCAGATTATTCAATTCAACATTTTAATTCAAGGGCTATTGATATATGCTTCAAATTATTTCATGTTTTTCATCTTAAATATACTCAGCCAGCATCATCATTCTGGACTTTTCTTCAAGAGTTTGTTTTAAGAATTAAAAGAAAATAACGGATACCCAACAATAAAAAATTTAATATAATAATCAATTTATTAATTAATTTAGATGTAAAAAATAACTTTTACAGAGCTTAATATTTTTGTATGTAATGAATAATATGAAATATGAAATAGTGTCATGAATTAGTTCATCAAAATGATGAAAAATAAAATTTGGTTAAATTCAGTTTCAAAGTATAAGTATAATGTTTTATTTTCCAAATTAGAAAGTTATTGTAAAATTATTTATTTAATAAGAGAAATTGTTACTGTAAAGATAGTAATTCGATGGTTATATTAACGATACTTATTACTTTCAAACTGAATTGTTGTTGATCCTGGTAATTAAAAAAAATGTTAATTTTTTTTATGATAAAAAAGATTTTACCAAGATAATAATTTGAATGTGGTAATAAAATTATTATCTCTTGATAAAAAATTTTTTAGCATAGAAAAAATTTGTTAATTTTTTTGTTCACTAGGAACAACAGCAATTCAATTTCATAATAATAAATATTGTTAATATAATCAACGAATTATTAAATTAACACAATTCCTTTTATTAAATCAATAGTTTTTACTATTAATATCACCCTAACTTGCAATTAATTTAATAGAGAGTATCGTTAAATTAACAATTGCTACTTTTAAACAAAAAATCTTTTTTTATTAAATTGACATTTTGGCCAATTAATTTAATAAATTTCTTTATTAAAATTAGTAATCTTATTATTAAATCCATAGTAGATGCTATTAAATCAACAGCAATAAATTTTTAATAAAATATTATTTATTATTAAATCAATAGTCTTAAAAAATTAAAATAAAGTTTTTATGCATTAAACTAATAATCATTGCAATTAATTTACAACAACAACACTTAAATTAAGTTCTCTCTCATTTTTCATTCTCTCTCTTCTAAAGTGTTATTATTTTAATAATTCGTTATTAATTTGATAGTTATTCATTATTGGATGTATTTTAATGACATTTTTATTAATTTGATATCAATTTTATTAAAATAATAGTGAAAATTTTTTCAGTGACTAAATATTTATTTTTATTAAAAATGTTATACTAACCGCATACATTATAAAAAAAAAAAGATTTATTCATATTAACTTTCTCTTGTTATTCTCTAAATTCTAAAATAATAAAACATAATATATTTTTACCACAATATAACAGTAATTAAAACAAATTTATGCGAACGTGCTAAAAATATATCAAAAATAATAATATAACAGGTGTATAACACATATTCATCATAATGAATCAACATTATCCTTTATTATACCGTTTAACAAAAATTCTGTTATTCTTTCATCTCTCAATAAGGCTTTTCGCATTTAAAAGTAAAGTAGTGTTGCTGAAAACTTTTCTTTTCAGATTTTTTTCAATTTGTATTTTATTATAATTTTTATGAAAATCACATTTAATTTTGCTTTCATTTCATCATTTTAATATTCAAGAGAATTTTCCCTCCAGATTCTTGTTTTTTCTTATTTGTTTTTCTTTTACTCATACACTTGGTGTTAAAGGTAGATAAAAGTAAATTAATTCGGGGTTCTTTATTTTCGCCTACATACATATACAATATATAGAGATTTAAAATAATTTTAAATATGAGATTTGGTATACTTACGCGTTAGCATTTAACTAAAATAAAAGGTATAATAACTTGGTCTTGTGTAGCTACTGTTCTACATTCAATTCAAAAATTAATGAGACTTGGCAATATAAAAGACATTAAACTTTTTTTGAATCCATATTAAATATTAATATGGATTCTGAAGGATATTAAAGATTATAAACGCAATATTGCAAAGACAATGTGATAGATGTATATGTACATATGCAAAATACATATATTAATTTTTGCAATAAAATTTTATAAAAGCAAATAAGTTCATAAGATTAAAGTGCGTTACTCACAACAAATGCAATTCATAAACATTGCTGAGCTACCAGCAACATATATAAAATTGCTGGTATCTCAGCAACGTTTATGAACAAATTAGTTTAGCACTATTTTTATATATAAACATAAATATAGCATAGATGTATAGCACATCGTGAAAGAACTATTCTTATTAGTTAAGAAAAGGAATTGTGCAATTGAAAACACCCTGTAGACGTTATTACAAACTTCAAGAAAGCTGGTTAAATTCCATAGGTTATTTTCTTTTTCATTGTAGAATCTTCTTAAAAATGTAAATTTGGTTCTAGGTAATGGTCCACCTTTCTGATATCTGCTTTTCTTTTAAATTATTACCGACTGCATTGTGTATACAGTAAAATAGGTTATGTGATGGCAACAAATTTTGCATATTGATTTGTTGGTAGGGAAATGTAAATAAACTATTTTTAATAACCTGTCGGTCTGTCAGTCTGTGAATTTGGTGAAATTTGGTTATATGTAAGTTTATTTCGACTATGGAACGGATTGATCAATTTTTGGGATGTATCAAGCCTTGGCAACTGAACTTTTCTGCGGACCTGTTTTACATTTTTGATAATTTTGAAAATTTTGAAGAAAGTATTCAACAGATTTACTTGAAATTTCATAAATAAGTTTCATTCCACCGTATCACGCGAAACATCCTAAATTTTGAAAGAAATTGGACGTCAGTAACTG